TTCCGCTTGCAAAAACAAACAAGCAAAAAGCACTTGGACAATTGATTAAGTGAGCGCAGCTCTGAGGGCATCCATGCTGTCTATGGGGTTAGACCCGTGCCAAAACCGCATGCACGGTCCACATCGCGCGTGTGAACGGGACTCGCGAGTGAAAATATACATGGCGAGAGGTCATTTGTGCACTGAGAGGGAGCAAACTGTGTCTGTGAGCGCACAAGGATGTGCACAAGTGACAAACCGGCGTGCGCGCGTTGCCAACGAGCACACGGCAGAGGAAAACGTGTGCGCGCGGCAGCCTCTCTGCGCGCTCGGTTTCTGACTCTGCTCGCTCGGCTGTTAAGGGGTTTTGGCACTCTGGAGGCGTGGCCTGTGGCAGATCTTCTCTGTCCTCTGATTGGTCATATTTTGTACCTTTCTCCGTGCCTTTTAGCTCAGCCAGAAGCTCAGCCAGGAGAAAACATGATGTCAAAGGATTCAGAGGTAAAGTAAAAAATGACTTACGAAAGTGTCCAGTTTAAATTCACCACGGCAGCTCGGTCCTATCTTAAACGTTGTTGTCAAAAGTATGTGCTATCACAAATTCGTTCCTTTTTCACCGCCATTAATGTAACGTATTGTCTCCGCATATATCGTTTTGGCTTATAAATCTCTTCAGTTTTGCCTTCATTAGAATTTTAGCAGGGAAACCTTTGTGATAATATTACTTTGGGCCCACAATGACAGGGAGAATTGCAGGAAGCTGCTCGGCGTGTGGTGTCCCTGTTGCAGAATGCCCTTTCTGACCCAACATCATCTAGAGCCAGTGAGAACTGTTGCTTTTATTTTGATTTTGCCCGCAAAGTTATAACATAAAGCATATGTTGTATTTAACAATTGAGAGTATGATTTTGCTCTGTCTGAAATAATAACAATCTGCAGACCAGGGAAACACAGGAGGACAAGGAGTTCAGCAGCAGAGTAAGACTGTAGAACAGAGCATGGCAAGGTTTGTTACACTGAGGCATTAGTGCTTCACAGTATTAATATTATGATTATTATTATCATTATTAACAATTTTATAAACCTTTCAGGTGTAATAAATGGGTTTACCATAGTTAGCCTGTCTCAATTATGCATTTTGCTGATTGATATTTGTTTTATTTTCAATATTCTACAGATCGTTTCCAGGAATATTTGGAAAAAAAATTTTGGGGGAAAAAGCGATCCTCTTCATGTGTTGTAAAAGGGCGTCTCAATCCTGTCAAGTCTTTTCCTGTACAATTTTACTTGGTCAACAAACAGATGGAGACAACACCTAAAGTTTCTGATGAGCTGAAACTTCTTCAGGCAGGGATGGGTCGGCGAACAATCAACATCACGGAGGATGCTGACCATTCATGGGTAAATACGTATAATAGAAAATTATAAGTGATATTAACTGCTGTGCACATTATCCAAATAATGAAACATTATTTTATTTGTTTGTTTCATAGGTTACAATTAGGGGTGCAACAATACATGTACCCGTATTGAACCGTTCAATACGGAGCTTTCGGTTCGGTACGCATATGTACCGAACAATACAGTATTTTTTAATTTATTTTTTATCATTTTTTCTTCTGACGATGAGATCCAGTGGATCTGGGTGATCTGCGTTCGACTACTCCGCCTGGGGTCGCATTGTCGAGCGCAGATCCACTTAGCGCCGCCCACATGCTTGGTAGCGAGACATGAGAAGTTGGCTAATCGCTAGTCATGGCAGCTGCGTCAGCGGTCCCCGAGATTGAACCTCCTCCGTCTTTCAGATCTGGAGTTTGGAACTTTTTTGGCTTTCATGTGAAGCGTGACCCTGATGGTAAGCGTGTCACGGACAAAACTACCACAGTATGTCGGAGATGCCACACAATGCTTAATCACGTCAGCGGGAACACAACAAATATGGCTGTACATCACCCTGATGCAAAGACAAGTGGAGGCAGGGAAAAACAACAACAACCAAGCATGCAACAAGCTCTTTCCGAGTCATTTAGACAGCCGTTTACACGTGATCCCAAGAGGGCAAAAGAAATAGACAGGGCGATAGCTACTTTTATTGCGGTCGACATGCAACCGTTTTCTGTAGTAGACAAGATCGGGTTTCGGGAGATGCTGAGAGTACTTGAGCCCCGTTACAATCTTCCTTCACGAACCTATTTCACGGAGACCGCAGTTCCTGCTTTGTACAATGAGACGAAAGCCAAATTAGAGATGGCAGTGTCAGCAGCACCCGCTGTTGCTCTGACCTCAGACGGCTGGATGTCAAGAGCTACACAAAGCTCAGCAACAGTGAGAGATGTAAAAAAAAAAACCCATCAGGGATGACCTGGAGCAGAGATACACAGGTCCTGCCATTCAGCATTGCCTCCACAAGTGCACAGCTTTAGATCCACGCTTCAAGTCCCTGCGACACTTGGATGATGCCACTCAACTGAGAATTTTTGCAGCACTCAACACAGAGATTGTCCTGAGCATTGAAGAAGAAAGTATTATTCTATAAATGTTTGATAATTTCTTTTGCTACTACATGAGTTGCAAGTTTTAATAAAAAAATACAATTAATTTAATTTATTTGTATTTTTGTTTTTTGTATTTCTTCAGGGCCAAGCTGCAGGCAACACAACAACAGCCCCCTCTACGGATACTGAAGCACCACACTCTTCAGATTCACCATCATCATCTCCACCAGAGAAGAAGTCAGCCATGAAGGAGTTGTTTGGAGAACTGTTCATGGGACAGGAGCCAAGGACCAGGTCTGCAGCCAAAGTGGCAGATGAGGAAATTAACTTGTATAGATTAGCGGGCTGCATTCACATCGATGATAATCCACTGAGATGGTGGAAAGAACATCACAGCTTGTACCCTCTGAAAATATATATCTCTCATATAAGCTCTTTCATATATTATTATAAGCTCTTTTATATGATTAAATATGTATCTCTCACTTTTGCCCCTTATATATTATCATAAATACATTATTATATGCCTTTTCATGGAATCTTGTTATAATATCAAAGACCTCTCTGTGCCTTTTCTGCTCAAGCTGAACAGCTGCATAAGGGAGTGAAAGCGTTCCTTCCTTCAGTTCCTCAATACAAGAACAACTGTCTTTGTTAGCAAAGGATGTTGCAGGATGTGTCCTGATCATCTCAAGGTTGCATGTCCTTGGGATGAATTGGTCTTTCATTAACAAGGCTATTAGCTGACGTGCGTCTGCAGGTGCAGATGGCAGAATTACGTGTGTGTATGGCAAACTACGTATGTAACATTCCTGTAATCTTCAATAAAAATCAGCCGTTTTCAGCAGAACGGCGAGAGTCTGTCCGAAGCATCTGGCAAGAGCAGGTCGCGGGACTTGCTGCTGAGACTCTCCCCCTCATGAGCGGCGAAACAGTGAATGGACTTCTGATCATTTGTCTCCTCGTTCTGACAACTTTAAAGGTGTTTAACTCCATCTACTCCGTACCCGTGCTTGGTCTAACGGAAGAGAGACCAACAAATTTGGCGTCACGAACAGGATTTTTTCTTTTTGAAGAAAAAGGAGTTTTTGGAGGACAATTTGACCAACCGACCCAGCGAACAGATCTTGGCACAGAACACCGCGGTGGAAAACAAGGTGAGCAGAGCCTATTATCTAAAATCTGCTCATTGGATTTATCCAAAGCCTTTGTGTCCAGAATCATAGTAGCTGAGGTCCTAAAATAATAGTTGGAGAAGAAAGTGGAGACAAGTGCAGAAAGAATAAGAGATTTTTTGTAATGGTTTAATGGTGAAATGAAATGAGGATTTTTCTAATGGTTTAATGAGTAAATGAGAAAAGGAAATAGTACAGATGAAGGGATGGTGACCCAGGGCTAATAGAGTAGCCCTAAAGTTCCATTTCCAGGTCGTGGCTGACCACACTATTTGCTGACGAGCGGATAGAATATATAACAAGGTTATATAAAGCTTGGCTGGATCCATAGGTGTGGGAACCCTAAAAGTCCACAGGTCAAGGACCTGGTTTTTTGTGTTAAGGGAAGGGGAGGCTAAAAGAGAGCTCCCTGGATTTTAAGGTCAAGGACCTGGTTTTTTGTGTTAAGGGAAGGGGAGGCTAAAAGAGAGCTCCCTGGATTTTTAAGGTCAAGGACCTTTTGCATGAGATGAGAAAAATGTTCTGAGGTAACTGTTTTTGCATAAGATGATAAATGTTTTGACTGCTTCTGTGTGAAGAGAGCAGTGCTTTTGGCTATTTCTGCGTGCTTTTGGCTGTTTTTGCATAAAATGAGCAATGTTTAAATATGACAAGCAGCCCAGTTGAAGCCACGAGAAATAAGGTTTTATTGAGAAAGTCAGCGGAAGAGGCGATGAAGAAAAAAGGGGTAGATGTTAACAGTAGAGGTAACTGGAGAAAGATTTGGGAAGTGAAGGCTGCAGAATCAAGAGAAAAAAAGGCACAGCTGTAGACAAGCTTCCTGTGTGTGTAAGCTGAGTTCAGCCTGTGTGTGTGAGGCGCAGCAAGAGGCTGCTTACGGCTCTGGATTGAAAGTGCAGCACTAGGAGAGTGCAGAATGCAGAGCAGAGTTTTGGGAGCTCCGTGTGCGTGTGTGTGTGTGTGTACAGCGCTGGGTGTGTGTGTGAAGGCCTGATGCGGTACCAGAAAATAAATAAATAAAATAAATAAGAGCTTTAAAAAGTTGCAACTCGTCTATGTAAATTACACTGCAGTGCTAAAATTAATGTTTGGAGCTACGCAAAATTCAAATTCTGCAACCCTGTTCTGATCAGTCTTTGAACAGAACACCATAAGTTAATAAATAAAAGGTTTTTAAAGTAACATATGCATATGTATGTGTGTATGTATGTATATGTGTATACATATATACATATGTAGTGTAGAAGCGTGATAATCATTTGTGTGTGGGGCAGCATGTGAGTGACCCCGATCTGGGGGTTAAGTGACCTGGAGATGAAAAAAGGGAAAAAAACCCACCAAGAAACGCAAGTAAGGATGTAAATGACAGCTTTATTTTAGAAATATAGTCATATAGCTGCTAAACAGTAAAATCAAAACAGATCTGCAGAAAATAAATATATAAACTATTCCTCAAGAGCGCTCTCAAAGAAATTGCAATTGGATTTGCGCTAATGTTACATAAGGCCTGCTTAAAAGCATAGTACGCATTAAATTCTGAAAATAACCAGTGCAGTGTTAAAATAAATTCTGTGCTTAAAATATTATATATATATATATAGAGAGAGAATAAATAAGTGACGAACTGACTTACTTTAAAAAAAAAAAAAAAAGACTGTGACAAACAAAGAATGTCGTCTGTGCCATGTGAATGAGTGGATGCGTGTCTTCTTGCATGAGCTGCTTTCGCTGGATCTTCTGAATGACTCAGTTTTTAATAGAGGGAGCAGCTGCTTGAGAAACAGGGTGCGGTCCATGTTTTTGCTAGACGGTTATTTAGTTCAAGAGACTGTGGAAACAATAGAAAAAGAATTTATCGTTAGTGTGAGGACAAGAAAATCCCTTAAAATACAAAAGTTGTATGGTTGTGGTTATAAAGGAAGTATTTTGTCTGATTATGGGCCGTGGAGTCAGCTGGACTCCCTCGCTCTCACAGTTTTTCTGTGTAACATGCAGTTTTAAGCAATTTGTGACTTTAGAAAGGATATTTTTCGGTGTTTTGGACGTACCTTAAGGCTTCTGGTTAGGGTATTCAGGAGATCCTTCCTCTCGGACAGATCTAGTGAGAATGACTGGAGTTTCAGCCTGGGGACCTGACTCCACCCACTTTTACACACAGGAGTCCCGCAGTCTAAAAATAGCACAGGGTACTGCGAAAAGCAGCTCTGAACCTCTCAGGATCATCTTTATGAAAACCATAAAATTAACAAATAATCAGTCAGGAAATAAAATATTTGTTAAATCTTGCTATAAAACAAAATCCAATAATTGTCTTACCTCAACTTTAAGAACCATTAACGTTAATGGCTGGATTTTGGGACGCTGAATAATGAAAAAACAGATAAACTAAGTATTATTTCCTGTAACCTGGCTAGAAACTGTACTAGGCTGTTTTGAGTTAAAAACTGGTAGTTATTTTCCCAAAATAAAATAGATAAATAAAAAATGAAAGGAGGGATCTTGCATTTGGGATAGATTGTGCCTAAAGTTTAAAACCTGTGTAGAACCGATTTGACGATTCAGAAAAATTGTGCATAGGAAGTAGTCTAGATTTACCTTTGAGTCAATAAAGTCGACTAAATATTAGAAACCATCGTTGATTTTGATTTGTAAAAGAGAAAGTTCTGTCATTTTAACTCAATCAACATATTTAAGGAAAACGTTTGCTGTGCATTGTGGCAGGCATGAACTTTACTGGGTGGGCCTGTCACAACCAGCTGCAAAGAATGTTTGGCTCTGACTTCTATACAAAGAGAACCTGGAAGCCCTCACCAAAGAGAACCTGGAAGCCCTCACCAAAAGCTGTGACTCATAACATAAAGACGGGGAGCACTACAAGATGGACAAAGAGGCAGAAACTTATTTGCCCTGCTGCTGATGAAACAAAGTACAAAAGGGGGAGCATGTGTGCTAACATGTGAACTTTAATCAATGACGGTGGTCATCCTGGACTTACAAAGAGAGGCTCAAAAGAGACTGTTTCCTATGGTTACACCCAGTAAAAGAGTGCTTGCTGCAGTCAGGTAATGAACAAGGCTTTTTGGCAACAACCAGTTGAATTGATGAAATGTCAGAACTGTGGAAAATTTACTAAACTACTGTAGAACATAGTTAACTGAGAAAGTTAGCCTAAAAAAAGATAATAATAATATCAATAAATAAATAAATAATAGGATTAGTAACCTGGATTTCAGCCCAACTCACCATTGGACGTCAATATAATCTTTATTGTCCTAGGATTCTCAGCTGCAGCGGACATGCAGTAAAGCCTTATTTTCTTTTCAAAACGGAATACATCAGCGTCATCACTTATCTTCATTAGTTAAGGAAACGGTGTCTATTTATAAGTCTAGGAGAACGCTTTAGGCTTCAACAGTTCTCTCCTTCGAGCAAACATGCGCAAATTTCCGGATAGTTTATAGTAACGTTCCATCCCATTCCATTCATTGCATAAAAATAAACATTAAATGAATAATTTGGCATCCAGCTGACTAAATGATTCATGGAACATCTCATCCGAGACAACAGTGTTGTTTCAGCTCCGTTGAGTTTCCCAACAGATCTAGCCAAACCTAGCTGATCCTATATTTTTCTATCAGCTGTAAGTTCTAACGTAGAAAATAATGTCACAAAAATATTGAATAATTGTACCCCTCATTCGATAAAAATTATGTTCACATTTTTATCTTGTGAAATCTTTAACATAATATTTTTAATTGGCCTTTTTGACGACAATTGGCTAAAAAGTCTTTAAGATTATCATCACAGGATGGCATGATAAATAAGTAAATAACATAAATAAATAAATAGACAAAAATAAGAGAGAAAAAGCAAAATTAATTAAATGAAACGTAATAGTGATAAAAAGTTAAAGTGATCTAAAATCTGTCATTCAGCGCCACTGGAAAAAGGAAGAGGATAGGGGAGTATTTCTTAGCACAAATCACGTTATTGATTTAGCAATGCAGCTTAATTTCAGATGCTTTAAGGATGATACTAACTTGTGTTATAGATGGAGGAGTAGCACAGAAACACTTCTAGATGAGGAGATAAGGAAAAAAAAACTGCTGATTACCAATACTATGCACAAACAAACCTGTAACTGCAGTTTCGTTATTTATGAATTAACCTTAAGTAGTGAATTAATTCTTAGGATTTCTTGTGCGAGTAGTGTTCCTAAAAAAGAAAGAAAGAAAGAAAGAAAGAAAGAAGGTAAGAAAGACAGGTAGTTTAGGTAAGGGACAACCTGAAACTATTTGGTTGAATTGATAGTAAAAGTGGTTGTCCTAATTTCTAATTGGAGAGATCACACCGCAACATGAGTTTAGAACGGCAGTTATGGGAAGTTTTGTTGGATTAATTTGATTACACGCTTTAGGTCTTATTTTTTTTCTTTCCACTGATTTAGCGTTAGGTTAAGTATTTCACACTTTCGCTTCAGTCTGACATTTGCTTGGTGTGTGAGGGCACAGAGACGTGTATGGACCGTGTGTTTGACTGTGTTTGTCTTGTTTGTTTGTTTATTTATCTATATGGGCGTGGCTGAGCCTTGAGAAACATCAACAAAGACATTGGACTATTCTGAGTAAATTAACCAATTCAAATTCAAATTCAGGATCCTGAAACAATTTGGCTATAACCTCTAATTGATGAAGGACATCTTAAGAATTCATTATACAAGGCTTCCTCTCCAGTGTTGCCGGAACTGTTATAAAACCCATGCATGGTTGTATATTTTAGTTTGATCATTTATACTCATTGAATTATTGTTGTTTGCTTTATGTTTTAATTTCTTTGCAATTTTTTCTCTGTGACACAGGTGGAGATGCTGGTGGCAAAATGGATCCCACACATTTCTTTCTCCCACACACATTCTTACTCTCTCCCTCTCTCTCTGTGTATGTGCATGTGTATGTGTTTGTGTGTCTGTGTGTGTCCATGTCGTGATGTCACTGTACCTTTAATTGCGCTTGCTGTTCGTAACTGTATGTGTCTGATGTTGAAGGTATCAGAGGCTAGGGTCAGTAAGAGCTAGGACATTTTTGTGCATAACCTTTAATCCCTAGGCGATCGGTTCAGGGAACTTCTGGTCCGGCCGGAGTGTGAGCCTTCCTACCAACTATCTGCCGAGATCAAGGACTGCACAAGTCGAGAAAGCCTTCATTGGACCAAAACTACACACACGAAGAGGCTTCGCCTTCGGTGCCAGGCGTCTGGGTCCTGCTAAAAGTCACCAAAAGGAAGTGGACGGAACCAAGGTGGACCGGGCCATACAGGATCACGGAGAGGACATCACACGCTGTCCGGCTGGACGGGAGGAGCCTAACCAGGACGAGAAGCAGCTGACATCTGCCTAACCAGAAAAAGGATCCAAAAAACCAGGAAGAGAAGTAGCTGACTACAGTAGCATGCCAAGCTACCACCACATCCTGCAGGACGAGAATCATGACATCATCACCCCCTGCAGCTGCCTGGAGCCAGTGAAGGGTCCTCAACAGGGGGAAGAAGTAACCACCCTATGAACATTCTACAAGGGTTGTATTTAACACCCTCATTTATTTTACAAGGGTAATATTTTACACCCTCCACCTGCTGACCCAATTATCCAGATGCCCTTGTTAATAGCCAATCCTAACATCTATTTGGGAGGGGAACCCTCTGATGAAAGTGATGACTCTCATGATGAAGAAGATGTTGTTAGAGTGTGAGAATATTGAGTGATTTCTGTAACAATCCCTTAAACTGTTTATTTCTATGAGTTTTTTGTTTTTATTGTTTTTGTTTCTTTTGATCATTGATGTCCTAGGCATGCACACTCTATGCCAACAGGTGTTCGCCCCAAAATTGAGATATGACAAATGGGGGGACATGGGGGAATTTTCCCTATAAACATATGATAATTAGGGTTTTTCGCCCTCATATGGAGTTGCATGCGATCCATACATGTTGTAACATGTTCAGTTGAAAGTATGATCATGTTTTTTGTATTGGTTTACTGCTAGAAAGATGAGTAAATGTAATCTGATTGGTTGTTTGTATTGGTATTTTAAAAAAACTTTGCTTATTGGATTCTTTTTGATGGAATTTGGTGTTATTGTTTTGATTTCTTATATCTTTATTGAACTCTTAAAAGAGTTCAAAAGGGGGATTGAAAATATATATCTCTCATATAAGCTCTTTCATATATTATTATAAGCTCTTTTATATGATTAAATATGTATCTCTCACTTTTGCCCCTTATATATTATCATAAATACATTATTATATGCCTTTTCATGGAATCTTGTTATAATATCAAAGACCTCTCTGTGCCTTTTCTGCTCAAGCTGAACAGCTGCATAAGGGAGTGAAAGCGTTCCTTCCTTCAGTTCCTCAATACAAGAACAACTGTCTTTGTTAGCAAAGGATGTTGCAGGATGTGTCCTGATCATCTCAAGGTTGCATGTCCTTGGGATGAATTGGTCTTTCATTAACAAGGCTATTAGCTGACGTGCGTCTGCAGGTGCAGATGGCAGAATTACGTGTGTGTATGGCAAACTACGTATGTAACATTCCTGTAATCTTCAATAAAAATCAGCCGTTTTCAGCAGAACGGCGAGAGTCTGTCCGAAGCATCTGGCAAGAGCAGGTCGCGGGACTTGCTGCTGAGACTCTCCCCCTCATGAGCGGCGAAACAGTGAATGGACTTCTGATCATTTGTCTCCTCGTTCTGACAACTTTAAAGGTGTTTAACTCCATCTACTCCGTACCCGTGCTTGGTCTAACGGAAGAGAGACCAACACCTCACCTTTCCAAGTTGGCACTGTGTTACTTGGTTGTACCAGGGACCTCTGTCCCAAGAGAGAGGGTGTTTTCCACTGCAGGTGACATTGTCACAGCAAGCAGATCTGTACTGTCAGCAGAACATGTTGACATCCTCATTTTTCTGAAGAAAAACATGGAAGTTGAGTAAATCGTATTTGGTTTGTATTTAAATGAAACTTTTATTTAAGTTATTTTTGTTGTATATGCAGCTAAGTGTTAGCACTCCAGAAGATGAGTGTGAGGGGGAGTTCCATAAAACATTGGTTCATTTTATAGGGACCTTGTTTAATTGCTGCTGAGAATATAGCCCAGAGGATGGCTATAGTATAGCTATTATTTTGGAAAAAAGCTACTTTGGTTTTTCACAGATTATTTTCTTCGTTACATAAGTTTGCTATTGTAGCAACATTTAATTTACAAAATTGTACTTTTGAGTTAAAAAGAATATTTGTAATAAATTTCAATGAATGACAAATTAAAAAAGGCATGAATACAATTTTTTTGTATTGAAAAAATATCGTACCGTGACACAAATATATCGAATCGAACCGAACCGTCCATTTTGTGTATCATTGCACCCCTAGTTACAATGTATGAAATGTTCTTTAGGAATCTGTTTTTTTTTATGTGTGAGGCAAAAGATTTCACATCACATCAATTATTTATAGCTTTCCAGAAAATTGGAGGATACATACTCTCAATTAGCAGCCTTAAAAGGAGCATGGATGTTATACAAGGCAGTTGGTAAGACATTACAAATATAACCAGTACAGGCCCAAAGTTTGGACACCAACATGTTATTTTCTTCAAAATAGCCACCAGGGTTTTTCCTGGCTCAAATTGAGGTAGAGGTGGTACTACTTTCCTCACGGGGTCACCCATTAGGACAGTGGGAGGGTTATGTTGTTTTAGTGTAACCAAAATTTTGTGCATTAACATATTGTGCTAAGACAGTCAAATATGGTGGTAATAGTGATGTACCGGTGTACGTGTGACAGGTACGGCCTTGTGCTGTCATTGCAGTTCTACTCTTCCAGACCGTGTATAACTCCCACCTGAGACTTACATCGGTTCCCCCAATGTTCAGCTGCACAGAAACTTAACAACACTAGCACAAACCGAGGACTAACCCCCAAATTCCACTAGCTCCGCTCCGCTCCGACACGAACGCCGGAGCAAAATCGGTCCCGTTGTAGTCAATCAGAGCAATTCCACTACTGCGGCCGTGCACCGCCCTCTGTTCCAGCAAAAATAGAATCGATCCTATTTTTGCCGGACGCCGGAGCACCTCCGCAGTAAATGGACAGAAATCACAAACGCCCAACAGGAAAAGGAGCAAGCACAACTTCCGTTTTTCACAATAAATCGATAAACAAAAGGCGTTTTTTGTTTCATATGCACAGGTTTAACAACTTTTAACAACTATCAATGGCGGCTGAAGTTTAAATGCACAAAAGTAAGCCACAAATACAGTTTCTACTATCAAAGTAGTCACACTTTGTTGATCCAAACACTGCTGATCTCTCAACACAAATGATGGGCAGATTAAACAGTTCATGCCGATGCTTCTCCCACACAACGGGTGTTTGGATCTAACTTCCGCGTTTATTGCTCGGACTGTATCGCAAGATCTCGAAAATCCCGCGCATGCTTGTTTGCGCTCCTCAGGTCTCCGCACCGGAGCGGAGCCGTTGTAGAGCGGGTACCAGTAAAAATTGAGTTCGGAAGCGAGCGGCTGCGGACCGGAGCGGAGGTAGTGGAATTTGGGGGTAAGGTTGCATGCTATTGATTATAATTTTAATTTTTGTATGGATAATTCTGGAATTACTTTATTTCATGTTTTTATTTGGATACAGGGTATAAAACCTGGTCCAGTTATTGACATTGTCATCATTTCAGCAATTCCAAGAGAAAGGACACTGGTAGAAGAAAATAGGTATGTGTTTCTGTCCGTAAAACACACACTCACACAAATCATTTGTATTTTTTCTCCTTACACAGAAGTAGTTTGTATTAAAGACTCAGATGCCCTCAGCCAGACATCTCTATTCCTAAGGTGCAGGAGACGTATCACAGACTTGGTGAAGATGAGGCTCCCATCATCACAGCCATGGCTCTCTCTGGTGATGTACCTCTGGTTGAATTCATGTTTGGTTCTGTGCATGAGGGAAGCGTGCTGTCTTACCAGCTACCAGTGAAGATGGTCTACACACAGATATCTCTTCCCCTCCAGAATTGGCACTCAAATTACAGACTAGAACACTGTATGAACTAGGGATGAGCGAGTACACCACTATCTGTATCTGTATCTGTTCAACCAACTAAATTATCTGTATCTGTATCTGTACTCGGAATGGGCGTGGCATAACCCGGAAGTGGGCGTGGTTTAACCGGAAGTGGACGTGGTTTACATCAATGTATTATTTTAAGTCTGAAATTGATATGGATTGATCAGAAGTTGCTATGTGTGTTGTTTATTTGAAAACTATTTACAGAGCAGCCTCAGAATTGAGATGAAATATTTTTGATCACAATAGTAAAGAAACTATTACAGAACAAGTTTTTCAATAAAATCAGAACATTAACATTTGAGTGCATGGATTAATACATCTGAACTCATGCAGTAGGAACTAGGAAATATGACACAACTTTCTATATATTTTTTTAATTTTAATTTGATTAAACTGATTTTTTCTTAACGTTCTTGGCATTTTCCCACACAAAGTTAAACAAAGAAATGTTGATTAATGTGTGTGTGTGTGTGTGTGTGTGTGTGTGTGTGTGTGTGTGTGTGTGTGTGTGTGTGTGTGTGTGTGTGTGAGAGAGAGAGAGAGAGAGAGAGAGAGAGATAGAGAGAGAGAGAGAGGGAGTAAAAAAAAAATAAAAAACCCGACCGGAGTGGAGGTAGTGACAACAGCAAGTCAGCTCTGTCTTGTCAAATGCACCAGGTCAGTTACGAAAAAAGTAACTTTAAATATTCAACCGAAAAAGAGGCGAGCTGAAGAAAACCTAGGGAAAACTGAAGAAACGTGAGCAACAGTGAAGCCATCACAGCGCGATCCGTTACTGTCTGTGTGTGCGTGGATGAGCCGGCCGGACTGAGCTCCCGGTCGGCTAGAGAGTTTTGTAAGTAGGGAGGGGCGGGCGCTCTATGTGACTGGCCAATCACAGAGCGTGAAGACAGTCAGTTACCCAGTGAAGATTTTCCTTCAGCACGATTACAGATAATGACTCATTTTACTCGTTTCATGCTCGTATTCGTCAAAAATGCGTTATCCGTACCAGATACTCGTCTGAAACGAGTATCCGGCTCATCCCTAGTATGAACATTGGTGTTTACTGAACATCAGCACCATGCTTTCGTTCTTTTTTAAACACAGAAACAGTTTTGTTTACCTGTTTGTAGCTACGGTTTCGCCGACGGCTGCCGGCTTCTTCAGGCTGACGCTGATGGTGGCGCGTCACTTCCTTCTCTGTTTATCTGCGGGCAGCAGAGGACGTTGTCGCCCTCTACTGCCCGCTCTCCCCTCTCCGACGATGCAGTCCCATGCGTGGTCCAGCGTGTAAACTCCGTCGTCTCTGTTCATGGTCCCACATCCACGTCTCCTTATCTCGATTGCTTCCTTGATCCATCTTTTGTATTTTTGTTGTTCAGTGTTTAGGATCCGTGTGTTATCCCAGTCCATTACATGTTTTTCTCTTAAGCAATGATCTGTTACGGCTGACTTCTTTATTGTACTTTCTGCTTCTTCTTTTGCTGCTCTTGTGTGTTTTCGATTTGCCTCTTTCTCGCACTCCTTTCTGTGTTCTATTGTTCGTGTGTTGAGTTGGCGTCCGGTTTCTCCTACGTATGTTTTATTGCAGAGTTTGCAATATCAGCACCATCTTTGGAGAAAATGAACATTGGCACAAACCAAGGACCAAGGTTGCAACTTTTAATTATACTTTTATTATGTGTATGGATATTTCTGTAATGACCTTTAAATTTTTTTTATTTGGAAGTCATACAAAATTTTAAATGGCACACGATAGCAGAGTTCATGTGTTGAGTTGCACCGATTAAGGAGGTGCCGTATCACTTCTACTAAATTTAGAGAAGTGTGTCACAACATGGCAGAAAGTTCTGATGAGAAACTTGCAATAAGGGTTTTGGGAACAAGCCATTAGACTGTTGACAAGTGTTGGGGTCTTGCCTTGGAGCCTACAGCCATAGTGGAGTACTGCAAGCTAAGAGAAGTCAGCTGCTGCTACCCAAGTGGTTTCATGATCCACCCTGATGCACCTTGGATGTGTTCAACACTAGATGAGATTGTGTGATCCAGAGGGACAGACAGAGTTTGGCCTTTTGGAAAATAAGTGCCCAAATGCGTGTATTTTTCTGGACTGTCTACACATTATGCGCAAAAATGACACACACACACACACACACACACACACACACACACAGAGGTGATCTCACACAAAGTCATACAATTAAGAAGAAAGCAGGTAATAGCTTTTGTTAGTTCTTACTCAATGCCTTCTTGGCCAGTAATTGCTTGTATTGCAGTGTAAATGTTAAGAGTTACTGTGGAGGAAATGATATATTTCTGCTTTGTTTGTTGTTTGTGATGGATTGTTAGATGACTAATAAATAACTCTGCAAAGCATTTTGGTGTTTTTAAATGGCTTGTTTCTATATACAAGATACATGAATAACAATACTAAACTAAAGTGGATAACTTTTTAACACCAAAATACATTTAACCTCAAATTAAAACGATTTCAAATTCATTTTTTAAATTACAATAATTCTTCAAAATTATATTTTAACTTTACATTTCACAATAAAGTTAAGATTCACAGAGTGGTTTAAAATTTTACATTTATTTGAAAAATTAACCAATTACTAACTTTACTACAAAGGTTTTGTAAAAGTTATGCATCTCAAGGTTTTACTCGGATGTCCCTCAGCAGGGTGCAGCACTGTTGAAGGTCATCTGAATGAAAGCTTGATATGCAGTTTCTTTATGAAAGTGTGTAAATATACAGTGTGGTTGCCGTACATATGTTGAGGTTCTCAGACATCAGGCTTCTTTGCCCAGGCCTTCACTAGTGGGCTATTTTAAAAGTTGGTAAGGAGAAAAACCACAGCATATAGCTGATTGTTTACAAATGCAAGGAGGGGAATAACAATCAAAAACCTAGTGTTCTTAGACCAGATGAATGGAGCGCTCCACATGCACTCTCAGAGATGTTATGGCTTCTGTTTCTATAACTTTACATGCAGACATTTGAGGTTTGCCAGAAAGGAAAGCTGGCCTGTACACTTTGCAGGGCACAATGTCATCAATGAAGAAACCCCTGTCTACCATGATGACCATCTCTAGTTGTAGCATTTTCAACACACCAGATTCCCAGGTTGGTCACTGATAGTTCCAGCATACAGTGCTGAGACAAAGGTCACTGGCCTATGTGGCACAATCCAAATGAGCCTCTTCAGAGTGCAGTTGAACTTGAGAAAAATATATGACTCTGGAAGAGAGGGGAATATGGCCATTGACACCTCAGATCAGTGCATTCAAGAATTACTGGTGTTTGGGTAGTCCTGAACGTGTTGTGATGCCCCCACCGTCTCATTGGGTTTTCATTTGTGTTTAATTGTGTTTTTCTTCTGTTGTAGGCAGCTGGTTAAGCAGCCTTGGAGGCACCTGGGCTCAGGGTGTGGTGCTGCCTACAAAGCCTACTGTTTTTCTGCTTTCACTGGGTCTCTCCTGTGTGGTGGGGAGTCCTCACTGGCCATTTTCTGTTCACTAACTTGCTTTAGTAAATCCTTACTTTGGTTAAATAAATCAGTTGTTGAACCCCCACTCCTCTGTTTGGTCTCCTTTCTTATTAAAGCCCACCACTTCCAGTCTGGGTTGTAACAATCTGCAGACAGATTTCTGAGTATCTCCTCCTTTGGTATACAGATCCTCACTGAGCCATGTACTGTGAACAAATAGTTTCTCCATGATATTATCCAGCAAGGTCCCGTTTTTGTCAAAACAAAGGTGAGGTAATGAAAAAATAGAAATATTTCATTAAATTAACATTTAAATTATTTATATGCATCATTAAAATAAAAAAACATGTTTTGAAATATATAAAGTGCACCAAACTTGACTCAGTCCATTCAACAATTCTAAATGGACAATTATGTAACTCATCAATTAATTATTTGAAAGGATAATTTGTCAATTAAATGCTGAAAAAAATAAACAATACATTAATGAGGCAAGAACTTTTTAAACTTGAACATACCTACACCCACAAGTCTATTTTTACCTGGAGTCTCCTCTCAAGAGTGGCTGAAGTAATATTACAACTTTGACAGAACACAAATTCTCTCTCTCTCTCTCTCTTTGGAAGCCCCACTCTAAGGGAGTTTGCAGTGTATTAGTGAGTCATATATTGTACAACCACAGTCATAAAGTTTTCAATCAGTAGTTTTATTTCAGTATGTATTTTTCCAGTATCACAAAAAATATAATTTTATATGGTTAAAACCATCTACCTTATGTGCACTTTTTAAAACACTGCCCAGCAAACATTCGGACGTTTAATGACAGTTGAATGGTCACAACTGTAAAATAATATCACAGGAATTAGGAAAAAACAGCATAACACCTACTCTATTTTCCTTGCCCGGACTCGAACCTCCAGGGAGAGAGTCACCCACTCTACCAGCTGAGCTATGACAACAACTACTGAATATCAGATATTTTTATATAGAGCTCCGGACCCCACGTGACTCTCAGTTAGTAGACGCCATTTTGGCAGGAAAAAAAGGTAAACAAACACGGATGTAACCATGAACGTGAACGGGATCCGCTTGGACTTTACTTCATCGGAGTTTACTTCACACTTTAAAACCGAAGAAATCGTTTTATATAGTCAGAAATTAAATAGACTAAACATCTCCGACCCTTACCGTGCCCCTGGGATACTTTTTAAAAACGCCAGAATCTGTCGGAGCGGACTTCTTACCGGACCTGGCCGGGGAACCCCTTGGGATTTCCCCGTAGGAGCTGGCCCAAGTGGCTGGGGAGAGGGAAGTCTGGGCCTCTCGACGCTACTGCCCCCGCAACCCGACTCCGGATACGTGGATGAAAATGTATGCATGGATGGATGGATGGATGGATGGATGGATGGACAAATAACAGATTTACACGTAAGTAGTTTAAATAGAGTGCTGTGCTGTGAAGATATAAGATATGTACTTTTCTCTGTAATGCTCTCTCGTCCAGTTTAACTAGAAACTTGCATGCCTTAGCAGAAAGCCAAGTGCATGTTCTATCTTGCTCGGTACTTTCCACCCTGTACTGGTAAACAGGAACTAGGGTTTCCTGTTATTTCTCGACCTTTAAGCACCTAACTCATATTTTGTGCAAGCTGTCAAAATGTCTGCGGTTGAGTGCGGGCGTGTGGAGCTTCAATAAATACAGCCGCTTCAACAGAGGAAGACAGAATCTCAGAGACAGCTGTCAGGACAGAGCGCGGGTTCTGTATGAGGCTGTGAGCTTCTCCACTGCTGCGGTGAACTTTGAACAGGTTTCTGATTCTTGACTCCAACCCTTGAAGCAGAGAACAGAACATCTTCCATCCTCTTCTGATGACCTCGTACCTGTATTGGTTTTAACAGAGCATAAAACCAACAAAATTGGCGTCACGAACAGGATCCTCTCTCAGCTGATGAGAGAGGGAGGCAGAAGAGACCAATTCGAAACCAGACCCAGGAGCCGGGACCCAGACACAACGGCCGACAAAGATTAAGGTAAGCAGACCTTTTTATACAAAATCTGCTCATTGAACATATTCAAACTAATTTGTGTCGAGGTTCCTGGCAACTGAGGTCAGTAAATTTGATATAATTGTAAAGAGTTGGAGACAAAAACTGAAACTCTAAAAGAACAGGTCTGGGATCTGAAAGAGTTTTATAGAATAGAAAGATAGAATTTCTGGGATTGTCACGAACTACAGCTGACGAGCACAAGTTCCTCTGACAATATTAAAAGCCCGGAAAAGGTCGGGGACCTTGGGGGAAAGCCTCCTAAACAAAACTTTGTACAAGATCAGGGATCTTAAGGTCGGGGACCTTGGGGAAAAAAGTCCCCTAAACGATTGAGAAAGATCAGGGATCTTAGGAAGTGTTACTACAGGTCTGGGACCTGTATGGTTGTGTTCTTCTATTTTTGTTCACATAAATACACAAAGTGTGAGTGCTGTATTTCAGGGGAAGGACCCTGTCCTCTCTGAAATATCAGATTACATAACAAGAAAGGACCTCACATCCCCTTTCTTTTTCACATTGGAATCGGCTCACAGCTAGCGGAGCCAAATTAAGGTTAAAGTGAAAACACATAGACTATTTACACTCATATACTAAATAATATTCATAAGCGGACGCGCAGCATTATGAGCCGCAACTAGGAGGGTAATGCATGAATGAACTGTTGAATGAATGAACTGCTGATATTAAGTGTAAATTACTGAGTGAGAACCAATATAGTACGCCCTTGTGGATGCACAGGTAAGAACTTCCCGCCTGAAAAGGTAGAAGCTTGGAAGTTACCACAACGGTTTTTAGTACTATCTCACGATAAAAAATCAGTGATTAGAGTTCAATAGGAACTAAGACCTCGCTGATCTAAATCGCCACCAAAATCAATAAAGATTAACTCCTACCATTAAAAGAAAAATGGACGGAGAGTTTGATAAAGAGCAAATAGATGATGGGTGGGGACCAAACGAGATCCTGAACACACTGGGAGAACAACTAGCGTGTTTAGAAACAGTGATCAGCACCACAAATGCCCCAGCTGAAGCGACAGAGCAGAAGAAGCTATTAAGGAAGACAGCGGAGAAGTTGATGAAGGAGAAAGGAAAGGATGTAAATAGTGCAGGGAATTGGGGAACAATTTGGGGACTGAAGGTAACAGAAACAGAAAAGAAAGAGGAGGAAGCACGAAAACTGATGGAAAATGCTGGGATGTTTGGGAAGAAAAAGCATCAGAAAGAAGTAGAAAAATTGACAGCACGCAAAGCCAAATACAATCAGTGGGCCCTGCTGTGGAAAATGGCAAAGCCTAAAATGAAGAAAAGAAAAATAGAACAAAATGTAGCGGATAAACAGCCACCACCTTACTCAGGCATATACCCGGTACTTAGCAAAACCGGAGGAGTGATGTCCATAGAGGAGGAACAGCCTACTGCTCCTCTATTCTCAGTGTCGCCTATAGCCCAGCAGGATAAAAAAAAGATATTTTCATGAGTAATCAACAGGCTTGTTCATCCCTGTCACAAGCAAAACAGATTAACGATGACAGGCCCTCCACCCCAAGGTCATCCTGTCCCTCCGTGACAAACGGTGACGTTTTGCCCTTCACCGGCCGAATGATCAGACAACAGGTAGAAGAGATGGTCAGACAACAGGTAGAAGAGTTGGAAAACACCATGAGGGAGGCTAGGGAGGCCCCTATACCCAAACCACAACAAACAACACAATGGACAGGTAGTTTTACTCCTATCTGCCCACCACCACCAGACTCCTTAGCTACAGCTTTACCATTCAACCCGAACAACCCTTTCACCGTTAAAGGTGAACTGAGAGCTGCCGCTCAAACTGAGCAGACCACACCACAGAACCTGGTGGTTACCATGAATCTGATAGGTCACAATGAACTAGAAGAACAGACATGTTCCAGTACGGACGCTGGCTCAGATAAAGAATGGTCTAGACAAGATGATGAGGACCCAATAAATGGAATAGAGGCTGAGTTAGTGGACCTAAGCCTTAAACACAAAACGTCACACCGTAGAGATCAGGTAACTCCGATCCCAGGCGGACACTCTTACCACACCAGATCAAAAGGGACTGCGTCGAATCTACCTGGACAATATCCTCTTGTCCAGGCCAAAACAAGTGGCCCAAAGGTATATCAACCATACACATTTGGAGACATCCAAGCTCTGGTTGATAAGCTTCCAGACATTGTAGAAGGAGGAAATGCCTGGTTGGCAGATTTGGATAAATATACCTCAGGACAGGACCTTGCTCTGGGAGATTTCAGGGCCATCATCACCAGATGCACATCCAGGTCTCAGGCTGCAGATCTGGAACAAAATGCAGGAACCACCCTATATGGGAATGAGGTACCATTGTTGCAGGTATTAAGGACTTTAGGACCAGCCCTACGCAAACAATTTCCACCTAAAAATCAGGGAACCCTCCATAAATTCAAATGGGATGGGAAAACCAATCCCACCAATTATTTGAACAAAGCCATAGATGACTGGGTGAACCATACAGGACATCACCCCAGCAGAGAAAGTTCCCAAAGCCTGTGGTTTAGGAAAGCTGTTCTTAGGGGAGTCCCGGAAACCGTTAACAATAAAATGGAAGACAACCCTGAATTGGCTGACTGCGATTTCAATAAATGGAAAAATCACCTGATTTTTAACCTCAACAAAGTCCAGGTTACAGAGGAAAAGGAATCAGACAATCTAGAGGAACTGCAGAAACAGCTCCTTAGAGTGCAGCTACAAGCCGCAAAAAAGACTCTAGGTGAAAAGGGGGACAAGACCAAGAAACAAATGGTTGCCACCGCTGCTCCTCCCCCAGCTGTACCAATCCCTAATCAATACCCAAACCCCTGGCAGCAGCCGCCGCAGTTACCAGGATATAATCTACAGCCAGCTCCATTTGTGGCTCAAGGACCCCCATACGGAGGTCATAGAGGAGGTTTCGGAGGGCGGGGTCAGGGGCGACCTGGTAGAGGCCGAGGCATCCCAACGCCCAGAGACACTTGTTATAACTGCGGGCAGCAGGGACACTGGGCTAGAAACTGCCCTATGCCTCCTAACACCATGAGAGGACAAGGAAGATTTGGTCGTGGACAAAGAGGTCCCCGTCCGGGCCCCCAAGCGCCACTCCCAAACCAAATGCCTGTTATGGGTTGGGAGTACTATGAGGGTGGTCCACAAGCATAGGACACCCCACAGGGAGCCACGGACGGTGAGGGGACCACGGCAGACCCCATGCTGTCTATAACTGTAGATGGAATAAAGAGAGACTTCCTGGTTGATACAGGAGCCACGCACTCCACCATTCAATCTGCACCAGCTAACAAAACATCCAACCGCCATACTACAGTGATGGGCTTCTCTGGGGAACCACAAACTCTGCCCTACACCCTGCCTCTTCCAACTAAGGTGGGGGAACAAACTGTGTTTCATAGCTACGTGTGCTCACCATCAGTTCCAGTGAATCTCCTGGGACGAGACTTGCTCATTAAATTGGGGGCAACAATTCTGTGTTCCCCCAATGGACTAACTGTGACCCTACCGGAAGGTACGGTGCTGCCCTGTGACGGATCTATGATGCCAGAAGGAATATACCTGGCTCAGACTCTACCCTCAATACCTGACTCTGCAGATATCTACTGGGCCTTGCTGGATCCTGAAAACCCACAGGCCCCTGGAATTGTGTCCGCCTACCAACAATGGAGGCCTTGGCTTTGTCAGGTTCACCCGTATGTTCCGCCCCCTGACCCTCCTCATGTAACACTCTTTTATGACAGACAAGATACCAATTGGTACCAACAGGCGTTCCAGAACTCCTGTGAAGGAAATGCCTGGGAAATTAGGGTGTCTGACATTTTTGTCGCCCCTGAAGGCGTGGCAGCTGCTGTATCCCTTACCCCTGACCAATTACCCTGGTACATGATGGCAGACGAAGCAGTGCCCCATGTTTCCCTGGCCCTACATCCTTCCCATCAGGCCAAGGAACTGGGGGGAATGGTGAAGCGTTCTCTGGCAACCACCGATTGGAGCCCCACCGCTCTTCCTCAGGTTTCCTACTCCCCTATGACTAAGACATATAGGATCACACACAACTGCACAAATACATCTGCTCTCGCACATGAGGTCATTAGCAGAACTCACGGACGTGAAAAAATGGATCATCATGACACGGCCACTATGTTGTCCCAGCTTCCGGACACCCTGTGGTCAGCAGGACCAACTGATGTAGGTTTGGTTAGAACCCCACCTATTCAGTTTACCCTGACCGATACCTCTCCCTTGTGGATCCCTCAGTACCCACACAAACCAGAGGCTGAGGAAGGGATTGCGGAAACCATTGCGGGTCTGGTGACCGCAGGGGTCTTGGAACCATCTAGTGCAAACTGGAACACCCCCATTCTACCTGTAGAGAAAAAGGGAACAAGGAAATTCAGAATGGTTCATGACTTAAGACGGATCAATGCCCTATTAGCAACAGATTCCCTGCCTGTCCCTAATCCTTATGTTGCCCTGACCAATCTACCTCCATCTCATGCCTGGTTCACCTGCATTGACCTGGCCAATGCTTTTTTCTGTTTACCCCTTCATGAGGACCTTAGAGATGTCTTCTCATTCACCTTCCGAGGCCAACAATGGCGCTATACACGCCTGCCACAGGGCTTTGCCCTCTCGCCCGGCCTCTTCAATCAATGTCTAAAACAGTTACTGGACACATGCCCTCTGCCTGAGGACTGTGTACTGGTCCAATATGTTGACGATCTCCTCTTATCAGCTCCCACTGCAACGGCCTGTCTTGAAGGCACAAAAGCCCTCCTGCAACACCTTGCCTGGCTAGGCTTTAAGGTTAGCAAAAACAAGCTCCAGGTTGCTAGGAAACAAGTTTCATTCTTGGGACGCATGATTTCACAGACAGGGGTGTCCCTCTCTCCCGAACATCGAAACTCCATACTGCACCATCCCAAGCCACGAATAGTCAAGGAAATGTTGTCATTTTTAGGCCTCACGGGTTACAGCAGAACGTATGTTCCCGATTATGTAGGCCTCACTGCCCCTCTGCGTGATCTCGTTAATGAACAGGGCATGCGCAACCTCACCGCCCCGTTAACATGGACAACTGCCGCAGAAGACTCATTTATTAGGCTGAAACAACAACTGTCCACAGCTAGTGACCTCGCCGTACCAAACTACTCTTTGCCGTTCTATCTAGATGTTTCTGGAACAGACACGCACATGAATGGTGTCCTGTTCCAGAAAAAAGGGGGAGAAAGACAGGTACTAACATACACGAGCGTTATGTTAGACAACACAGAAAAAAGACATCCTCCCTGCACCCAATATGCTGCAGGACTGGCAAAAATTATTCAAAAAACCGCCCATATAGTGATGAGCCATCCGTTGAAAATCCTAACCAACCATAGTGTAGTGGCCTACATCACCTCCCAGGCATTCACTATGACATCACTAAGACAGAGACGGCTGAGCAAAATTCTGGAATCACCTCACATAGCCTATACACATGAAGGTATAAATATGGCAGAACAAATGAACGCAGGGGAACCACACTTGTGTGCACAAATTGTAGAGGAAGGAGAGAAAATCAGGCCAGACCTTCAGGCAGAACCAATAGAACACGCAGACAAAAACTGGTTCACAGATGGATGTTGTCACAGAGACGATAAAAATGAACTAAAAGCAGCATGGGCAGTAGTGGAACTAGGTGAGACGGGGTGGACAACAGTTAAAACAAATCAGTTACAAGGACAACAATCCGCCCAAAGAGCAGAACTACGGGCAGTCATTGAGGCACTGAAACTAGCCGCAGGACTGAAAGTCAACATATACAGTGACTCAGCATACACTGTAGGCGCAGTCCACGTAGAGCTCAAACAATGGCTTAGAGCAGGGTTTCTGACGACCAATAACAAACCCATCAAACATGAAGCAGAAATGAGAGAACTGGCAGAAGCATTACTGCTTCCCGCTCAAGTAGCTGTAATCAAGTGCAAAGGACACAGTCAAGGTAATGACCTCGTATCTGAAGGAAATAGACAAGCAGACAAGGTGGCGAAACAGACCGCAGGCTATCTCCCCTCTTACAACATGGTAGTGGAGACGCAGCAAGGAAAAGCCCAGGAAGACCCTAGAATAAACATAGACATCCAGACCATAAAGCAAATGCAGGACAAGGCCTCTCCACAGGAGAAATCTTTGTGGGTGGCTAGAGGAGCAACCAACACAGACGTTTGGAGAGGACCAGATGGTAGGCCCATACTGCCACCTGGGATCAGACAGACGGCAATGGAAGAAGCACATGGGGTAGGACATGTAGGTGTAACACAGATGATGAGAAACTTGTCCCCCTGGTGGCATCCCTATTTAGCAGACATGGCCAAGCATTTAGTCAAAACTTGTACAGAATGCGCTCATTTTGGCATCAGACCCACCCTGAAACCCATCCAAGGTCAATTTCCTATTCCAACGTGTCCTGGTAAGGAGGTAGTCATAGATTACACAGACATGATTGACAGAGTAAAAGGCTACAGGTACCTCCTGGTTTGTGTGGATGCGTACACTGGATGGCCAGAGGCCTGGCCTGCAAAAAAGGAAGACAGTAAAACAGTTATCAAATGTTTGATTAATCATTACATTCCCCAACATGGCTTCCCAGAAAAAATCAGATCAGACAATGGTACTCATTTTAAGAATAAGGATCTTCAGGAGGTTGAAACTATGCTGGGACTGAAACACAAGTTTGGTTCAGTGTACCATCCCCAGTCACAGGGGAAGGTGGAGAGGATGAATCAAACGTTAAAAGTCAAATTAGCTAAAATCTGTGCACAGACCAAATTGAACTGGTTGGATGCTTTACCACTAGCTCTGATGTCCGTACGGAGCTCAGTCAACAAAACCACAAGGTTTACCCCTTTTGAACTACAGAATGGACGACCTTTTCCAGGACCTGCCACTAAACTAGCCTTGACTACGGACCTAACTGATCCACCTGACCCAAGGACATATTATAACATCTTGCGGAGTCTTGTCTCTCAGTTTTCATTACAGGTCAAGGCCGACTGTGCCACAACAAGCACCTCTTCTACGCAACCAGGGACGGACTGGGTCCTGCTGAAGGTCACCAAAAGAAAGTGGACGGAACCAAGGTGGACAGGACCCTTCAGGATCACAGAGAGAACGTCACACGCTGTCCGGCTGGACGGCAAAGGTGACACTTGGTATCATTGGACTCAGTGCGCTGCTACGGATGAGCCCCAACGCACTCTGTCTGAGATCCAAAAAGAACTATCAGAGGAAACAGGCCCCAACCAGGCCGAAGAATCTGCGGACCAGGATTAGAAGCAGACGATAGAACCACACCCTGCAGCTGCCAAGAGCCAGTGGAGGGACAACAACAGGGTGACCGGTTCGGTGAACTTTGAAAAAAAAAAAAAAAAAAAAAAAAAACTTTTTACACCAGATGGAGGGTAACACCGTTCAACGCGAGTCATACCCAGTGTTGTGGTACCCAAGTAGATTACATATCTTAGAATTCTGGGACAACAGGCGAGGGCTATGGAGATATAGGCGTCACTTATCCTTTACTGGTCCAGAGGAATTACTCAGAGCGGCTATCGTTGCTTATTATATGATTACTGGCATAGATCACTCGCGTTACCTGAACGGCCTGCTAAACTAAAACGTATCGCCCACTCTTGCACGTAAAATGTCGTGGCCATTCTCTAGCCCCCTCACCTGCGGTCAGCGGTGCGGGGTGGCATTAATTATTGCGGTATTAGCTGGAATCCCCCTCCTAATTGATTATCTCTGCACGGAGCCCCCACCTATCCGTGGCCCTGATCCCTCAAACATGACTTTTGTGTCACCTCTCCCAGTGAAGACCCGCTCCTCACCTGCGCATCTCATAGCTAGGGCGTCGCTAAGACTCAAAAGACGCTCGCCTTCCATTTCACCTTGCACACCTAGCGCGGAACGTATGATTACCCTTTGTGTCCCCAGTAACAGAAGTTGGGTAATAGAGATAGACTTCGCTAGCTTCCCTAACACACCTGTCTCTCCGGAACAGAAAATGGCAGGTAGCGCCAATCTGGCAGTGCACCTTTCCTCGGCGGTATGGTACCTCACTCTGGGAGGGTGGCCGGACTGGAGTTGGACCAATCTGGTGACGGAGACTG